AGTCGATTCGAATACAACACTTTTTTTAAGGGTATTAGACCAAACTATCCGAAAGTTTGACACATCACTTCTGATCATCTAAGAATTGTCCTGACACATTCAAAATTTGGATTTTTGGAAAACATTTTTTAACTTAGTCCAGACCAGAACCAAAATGCCGTGGAGCTCTCATATTTCGATCAATATACAATTATCGAAGGCTCTGATATGAGAAACGAAAGGGTCAGGACAATTTTACGACAATTTAGAACACTCTGGTAGTCGATAAACTCGCATTTGAACGGGATAAAGGCAAAAAAAGTGTTGTATGCGCTTCTATGCTAAAACGATGGTATACGAGATCTCGGAGTGAAAATTTAATTCACCTGGAAATCACAGATGGCGCAGGGGGTTCCCCTGCAGTGAATTAGGGTCCCAGAAAGCATGAACCCAGAGGATTTCTGGAGTTTTACTTCGATTTCTTTATAATTAATGTACGAAAACAACAGGTGGAGTATGCCATTTGGTGCAATACCCAATATAATTCGACACAACTGTTAATATAAAAATGAACGTCGGCAACGTAGGCATTTAGAAAAATCTTCTTTATCGACGTCGATTAAGTTCCTCGACGTGTTTCACTTTACCTTAACGTGGAGATGCTCGCGATTCGTCGTAGCTGTTTAAAAATGATACTTTTTCGAGTTTGTACATATACGCAAACAAGTTCTTTTTTTTTCTCCTTTTCTTTTCTACGATTCTCATGTAAGGGGGTAAAACCCAGTCGCCCAATGATGCCCTCGACGACGTCGTAAAAGCCGCACCGCGGTACTAATGGCGGAAATTGCGCTCCAGGGATCGCCTATTGCGTCGCTCGATCCCAGGAAAGTGCCGGCGGCGACGGAAACGCGAGGCGGACGCGGAAGGACGTTTACTGGAACGGAAAGTCGAAGCGCTCGTCGCAGATCGATGCGGCTGAGCGAAGGCTGCAGCTTTCGAGGAACCCTCGCGGAAAAAGCGCAAGGCCGAGCGGTACATCGCTCCGTCGATAAACGAGCGACATTCGACCGGAGATGTTTTGTCTGCTCGATGGAGAGAGACGCGGGAGGGACGCAGGGATCGATAATGAGATTATTGTGCGCGATATACGAAGCGGAAACCGGCGAATCGCGAACCCCGCGGCCGCCGGAGACTCCGTCCGAGGCCCGTCGAGGACGAGGCCTAGCTGAGCGCCACTGGCGTCGCGAGTGGCGCCGCGTCGCGGATCCTGCCGAACTACTTGGCCGACCTCGCGTAATACCCCTGGACCACTGGATCGAATGCGCAAATTGCCAATAGAAGCATGACCCGAACATAAATAGTACTTAAGGTGAAGTGAAATCCCCTTCAAATCTGTCGAATCGAATACAACACTTTTTTTTAAAGGATATTGGACCAAACTGTCCGAAACTTTGACACGTCACTCCTGATCATCTAAGAATTGTCCTGACAGGTTCAAAATTTGGATTTTTGGAAAAAACTTTTTAACTTAGCCCGGACCAGAACCAAAATCGCGTCGAGCTCTCATATTTCGATCAGTATACAATTATTGAAGGCTCTGATATGAGAAACGAAAGGGTCAGGACAATTTTACGACAATTTAGAACACTCTGGTAATCGATAAACTGGAATTTGAACGTAATAAAGGCAAAAAAAGTGTCTTATGCGCTTCTATGCTAAAACGATGGGAATACGAGGTCTCGGAGGGAAAATTAAATCGACCTGGAAATCACAGATGGCGCAGGGTGTCTGTCTACAGTCAATTAGGGCCCCAGAAAGCTTGAATCCAGAGGATTTCTGGAGTTTTACTTCGATTCCTTGATATTTATTGTACAAAAACGACAGGTGGAGTATGCCATTTGGTAAAATATCCAATATGATTCGACACAGCTGTCAATATAAAAATGAACGTCGGGAACGTAGGCATTTAGAAAAATCTTTATCGACGTCGATCAAGTTCCTTGACTTTCACTTCGCTTTAATCACGCGCCAAATAAATGCGAGGGTACATTTACGTTTTTACCCCATGATTATCTTATACGATAACTTTAACCTACGGTTCGGTGATCAATGATTTATTTAACCTAGGTTGGGGGATATATAACTCGCCTTTCCCTATTCACCTTCGTGCTCGCGTTCACCGACATCGGATCCGACGGTTTCTCACATGCGCGCTCGCGTGTTGATATCGCGACTAAGGAGACCGCCGTTGCGGTTAAAAACGTCGCACGAGGTCTCCGATAAATGTTATTGTCCTGGGGTCTCCATCTCCGGTTAGAGGCCGTGACAACATCCGGAATGCGTCAAATCGACGCTCTGAGCGCGTTGTTGGAACGAGTAATTGCTTTCGGGACTCGCTTTACCATAAAGTACCGTCGCCTCTTTTGTCCCAGCTTCTTTTTCCGTCACGCTTTGGATCAATTCTCATCGTCCTATAAATCACACTCGTAGAACCGGCACGAGCGACTTTTAAAAGCGATTAACTCCCTACTTCTTTCGAAATTTCATTTTTTTTAGCCGATTAAAACCGAAGAGAATGTAATGTACCTTTTTTGACCTTAAAGTAAATCCCGTAAAGTTTAGGTGATTAAGGTGAAGTGAAACCCCCTTCACATTAGTCGATTCGAATACAACACTTTTTTTTAAGGGTATTAGACCAAACTGTCCGAAACTTTGACACGTCACTCCTGATCATCTAAGAATTGTCCTGACACATTCAAAATTTGGATTTTTGGAAATCTCTCATATTTCGATCAATATACAATTATCGAAGGCTACGATATGAGAAACGAAAGGGTTAGGACAATTTTACGACAATTTAGAAACTCTGGTAATCGATAAACTCGCATTTGAACGGGATAAAGGCAAAAAAAGTGTTGTATGCGCTTCGGTGCTAAAACTATGGGAATATCAAGTCTCGGAGTGAAAATTTAATTGACCTGGAAATCACAGATGACGCAGAGGGTCCCTCTGCAGTCAATTAGGGCCCCAAAAGCATGAATTCAGAGGATTTCTGGAGTTTTACTTCGATTTCTTGATATTTATTGTACAAAAACGACAGGTGGAGTATGCCATTTGGTAAAATGTCCAATATAATTCGGCACAACTGTCAATATAAAAATGAACTTCGGGAACGTAGGCATTTAGAAAAATCTTCTTTATCGACGTCGATCAAGTTCCTCGGCGTGTTTCACTTCACCTTAAGCGGACGTGAAATGATGTCAAAGAGGTCTTTTGTATGAAACTTTTCTTTTAATTGGATGTACCAAATAATTTCAAATATTACGATGTCAATATGGGGGCTATAAGGAAGGTCTTGACCCTGATGAAATTTCAATTTTAAGAAAAATTCTTTATAGACATTTTCAAAGTTTTGAATAAATATTGATATTTTGTGAGTCTTAGGACACACCGAAGGGTCTCTATATTCACGTTGTAAAGTTTAAAACGTTTTGGCACATCCAGTTTGGGGAAAAGTTTCACGAACGATTGACTCCACTTTCACGTCCCCTTATGAGAACTTTATCGCAGAGAATATATACCTACTTTTACGTAATTCTCCAAGAATTTTCTCCAAGGATTTGGAAGATGAACGGGAGGAAGAATGTGTTCACTTCTTTGCGGCGTTACTACGGACTTATCCGCAGCAATGGGAACCTTAATTGACATTGCTCCAGTTCCAGGCCGGTGCGTGATGAGTGGATACGATAATATCACCCTCGTTAAATGCCCGTTCAGTGCATACAGGATTGTTCGGGCACTGGGCGGAAACGGGCCTAGAAGTGTTCTGCGGCTATGGAACTCACTCCGAGATTATTCCGAAACACTTCGAAATGGTTTCCAGAACTAGATTGAGGAAAGAGGGATTCAGGAGTTGCGCGGGACAGAGGAAAGCTTGTGGTATGAGCCGGAATCAGCGCCGGACCGCGTCGCATCCTTCCTCGAAATGTTGAAATCAAGCTTCGATGTCAACAGTGACTCGACGACGGCCGGCCAGTCGTGAAGATCTCGTTTAGGTGAAGTGAAACACGTCGAGGAACTTGATCTACGTCGATGAAGATTTTTCTACATACCTACATTGCCGACGATTGTCTTTATATTGACAGTTGTGTCGAATTATATTGGGTATTGTACCAAATGGCATACTCCACCTGCCGTTTTCGTACAATGTCAAGAAATCGAAGTAAAATTCCAGAAATCCTCTGGATTCATGCTTTCTGGGGCCCTAATTGACTGCAGAGGGACGCTTTGCGCCATCTGTGATTTCCAGGTTAATTAAATTTTCACTCCGAGACCTCGTATTCCCATCGCTTTAGCATAGAAGCGCATACAATACTTTTTTTGCCTTTATCCCGTTCAAATGCGAGTTAATCGATTATCAGAGTGTTCTAAATTGTTGTAAAATTGTCCTGACCCTTTCGTTTCTCATATCAGAGCCCTCGATAATTGTATATTGATCGAAATATGAGAGCTCGCGCCATTTTGGTTCTGGTCTGGGCTGAGTTAAAAAGTTTTTTCTAAAAATCAAAATTTTGAATGTGTCAGGACATTCTTAGATGATCAGGAGTGATGTGTCAAAGTTTTGGACAGTTTGGTCTAATACCCTCAAAAAATAGTGTTGTATTCAAATCGACTGATTTGAAGGAGGTTTCACTTCACCTTAAGGCCGCCCTATTGTCAAGTTCCAATGTGCTTTCTCGAGCGAAGTCATTTCTCTTGTTTCCGAGATGTTAGCTCTCGTCGCGAGGCCGCATATATTAATAAAACCAGAAATTATCTCCGTGGAAATTGACGCCACGTTCACCAACAGCTATCTTTGCCTGTAGATATTGTACGAGGCAACTGTGAGAATGTTTAGCACGTGTAATGTAATTCAATTTGGTTCATGGCTGCTCAGTTATGAGACTTTTTCTCGCGATTAAAGTAGAGGATGTGTCAATGAGACCGTTGTTGTTAACAGAAATTGATTTTGTGTTTTACAGGGACCACGGACAACGGGCCAGATCAGCGACTGCACAACGAGACGCAGACCGATATCGTATCGTCGCCTTTGGTGAGTCTTGGAAATACTAATTAACGCGACGGACTTTGGTCAGTGGAAATTTATTTGGTCTTGAAGTCCCCCTATCTCTTTGACTCGGTTGTCTGACTGGCGTCAATTGTCATGCCGAGGAGACGGGATTGTTGTAAAAAATAGCGCCATACTATCCCAGTCAGCTGGTCAAGACGCAATCGAAGGCAATGAATTTTAGGGCTTTTCTTTTAACGAGCACAAGGGTTGAGAATGTTACGAAAGGCCACCCTGGAATTAATAACCCTAATTTGTAATTAACCCCAAACCGAACTAGAATCCACGACCCCAAAGTTCGATGACCACGTATTGGACGTAATTTCTATCAAAGTTGTCCACTAGAGTTTAAATTCTTCTCAGCGGACTCTAAGGAACGTACGATAACCGAATGTTTGTTATGTCAAAGCAGTCGGAGCACTTGGAAGGAAGACATCCTTGCCCGGCGTGTCCCATCGTCCTGCCCAGCTCGCGCGAGTTGACCAATCACCTGCGCGGACACAACTCTCCGCGAAGCACGGACTGCAGTGGCGAGGAAGACTACTCCTGCGGCGTGTGTCACAAGGTGCTGAGTTCTGCTAGCTCTCTGGACCGCCACGTCCTGGTGCACTCCGGTGAACGGCCCTTCAAGTGCAAGTACTGCGACATGGCGTTCACGACAAACGGTAACATGAACAGGCACCTGAGGACAGCCCACGGCAGGCTGTCGCCAAACAGTTGCACCGACTCGGACGAAAGTAGCGATTCGGAGAAGCCTTCGAAGAGACGCCGGATGGAGGAGTACAACAACAACGAGATAGCGAAGCGTAACTCGCCTGATTTCAGCGATGGCCGTGCCTCTCCGAGCCTAATGTCCAAGAGGAAGTGCCACGACTTCGCGGAGGATCCCGAGGCTCAGAGAAAGCACAAGATCCTCTTGGGCAACTCTCGGATGGAGATCAAGTGCGGCTTGGTGGAGACTCAGAGCGTGCACAACTGCCCCGTTTGTGGCCGGCAGGACTTCGCCACTAGTGCCCTGCTGGAGGCCCATCTGGAGCGGAGTCATCCAGAATTTCCGGCCAAGTGCGATGCCTGCAACCTGTCGTTTAAGAACCACCGGGTGTTGAACCTTCACCGGTTCATGGTCCATTTCGCGGAACATCCGACAAGCGGAGTTGCGAAGAATCTGCGGAATTCCGTGGTTGGATTCAATGACCTCACCTTCGTTGACTTCTCCTCCGATAAGTTCCCGGCGATAGCTAGAGCGGTCTGCGAACAATCCCTGCACAGACCAGCTTCCGGAGAGATGACCAAGTTCCAGTGTTCCAAGTGCTTTAGAGCGTTTCCCTGCAGGTCGGCACTCGATGCCCACGAAACGGACTGCGGGACGGCAAGTCATGCGAGGAACAGCATGGACGACCAGTCTAGAAGGAACGACTTCTTCGCTGGCCTGGATCTGCAGAATAAGGCCGCGCTAACCGAGGCCAAGGAAGGCAAAGACCTTGCGGACATCCAGAGCATCATCTCCGTCACGTCTGGCCCCATTCTGCAGAGCTTCCCCAGGTCTGACGCCAGCACGCCCGATAATAGCATACGGATGAATCCGAACATAGGTTCTTCCGGATCATCCGGAACTCCCTCGTCGGAATATCACGAAGAAGAGGCCCAGGATGCATTTGCTGCTGAGTTTAGAAAAATGAAGCTGAAGGGAGAGTTCCCGTGCAGGCTGTGCACGGCCATTTTTCCAAATCTGCGAGCATTGAAGGGCCACAATCGTGCTCACATGGGGGTGGGCCCAGGTATTCCTTATCCTTGCAACATGTGTCCCTACACCAGCACGGATAAGGCCACTCTCGTGAGGCATCTGAGGTCTCATAACGGCGACAGGCCCTACGAATGTTCCCTTTGTAATTATGCGTTCACTACGAAGGCTAATTGCGAGAGACACGTGAGGAATCGCCACGGTAAACTGACTAGGGAGGATATTAAAAGCGTGTTGATATACCATCCTAACGAAGATTCGACTAACGACAGCCTCGACAGAACCTCACCCAGAGGGCTTCGAGATGATGCACGAAAATCTCTAGTCTATTCGAATGAACGCGACGAGTCCATTGGGTCCTTGCAGCCGTTACATCCGCAGATACATTATAGTACGAGTACGCCGATCGAGGCAAAATCTGAGATACGAGTGATAGACGAGGCCAAATTGCGCCAGCCAGGAATCCCGCTGTTGAATGGGATGCCGATGAGTCATTATGATAAGCCCTATGACAAATCCGAGATGTTCCCGAGACCACAGCCAGCCATGCAGCCGCTAGAGCTGACGCACAGGATGGGATCGGAGGAGCCGGACATCCCCAGGGACATGATGTCAAAGGCTGCCGGTTTCCTCAAATCCGAGGAGGACGTCGAGTCTAGGTCGTCGGAGGAAAGTGTGTCTCTAGTCAGCGAAACCAAACCGGAATTACACCAAAGAATGCAAGACACCCCGATGGACCTGAAGAAAGGCTCCGATACACCTTCCCCCGTCGGCCCAGGCGAGGATGGGCCATTGGACTTGTCTATGGATGTACTGGACCTGAGCAAGAAAACCAAGAGCAAGGAAACGGAAATCGACAACTCCCCCGAAGATTATGGCAGGAATCAAAAAGAACTGTACAATGCTACCAATCAGCTGTTGCTGACGCAAGCTTTGCTCAAGGCCGGCCAAGCTGGATCCCAGTCTCCTTCCCTGGAAGCTCTCTATGCTAACGCACATCTTATCTATCGGAATTTTGGAACGTTCCCAGGTGGGGTCTCCCCAGGTATATTGCCCCCGTACCTATTCAATCCCCACCTGTTCGGTCAGGATTTTTCTATGAAGGATAGGATTCAGAAGGAGCTGGTAAGAGGTCTTCAGCTGACCAGCGGTGGTTCAATGATGGAACCACCAGTTGGGAATGCTGGATTCAATCCAGCTTTTCATCAAAACAGAGAAATTTCTGCCCCTCCGATGAACGAACCCAATGACTACGTGAAGTTGATGTCACCGAAATTGACTAACAAAGTGCCACCACCGAGGGAGAAGCTGGAAAATTCTTCACCGAATTCCGTGAAGATGGTGATCAAGAATGGAGTTCTGATGCCCAAGCAGAAACAACGGAGATACAGAACCGAAAGGCCCTTCACGTGCGAGCATTGCTCCGCTAGATTCACCCTGAGAAGTAATATGGAAAGGCATATTAAGCAGCAGCATCCCCAGCATTGGAGCCAAAGGCCTCGTGGTGGGCATTCGACGAGGGGGCGTCCACCTGCAAATCCCCCTACACTGCTGCAAAGCATTGGCCAGGGGACATCCCAGCAATTACCTCATTCCTTCCCAAATGTCCTTCCAAAGGTAGGAGTAAACTTCACTCAGGAGTATGGGAAACATTCCATTTCGGATCAGGTGAAATACGCTATTTTGGCGCAACAGCTGAAGAGTAACACCAAAATGGAAGAAAACGACACGGAGGAAGAACTGATCATCGATGAAGAGCCTAATGACAAAGTCACATCCGAGCCCAGAGAGATGAGCGAACAGCCTACGAGTTTGTTGAGAGGAAAGCTGGAAGGGTCGGACCTGAGCAAAGACAGTATCTTGAAGCAACACATCAGCGATTTCTCAAAGGACAGATCGGTACAGACGCAGGAGTCGCAAACGGTGGCCCAGGTCAAACTACAGGAAACCAAGTTGCAAATTCCTCCACATACCGACGACGTCGAGAAAGGCGAACCAGAAACGGAAGACCGCACGACCGAAGAAAATGAATCCGTTCACCAAGAAGGAAACGAAAAGGGCGAGGATAACACCGTAGATTTGGCTAGCGTTTCGAAGCTCCTAGACAACGCCTCGCAGCAATATCAGCAGTTCCAGCCCCAGTACCTCAGCGACGAAGAAGGCCTGGTCGCTTCGACCAGCGACTGCAACAATTCCGGCAGCGATGAGAAGTCAGACTCCGGTAATTCGGCGAATTCCGGAAACTCGTCCTCGTCTAAGAAGAAAAAGAAGAAGAAAAAGAAGAAGAAGAAGAAGTCGGCATATTCCATGGCACCGAACAGGGTAATTTGTCCCTATTGCCAAAGGCCGTTCCCATGGACCTCTTCGTTGCGGCGCCACATTCTCACACACACTGGACAGAAGCCTTATCAGTGTATGCACTGTTCACTTCTTTTCACAACCAAGTCGAATTGCGATCGCCACTTGCTTCGAAAACACAAAACTAATCCCAATAAGATACGACGCATCAGAAATTCGTCCTCGCCGGAAGCGCAGAACGTCAATAATGTACCCATCGGTAACAACACCTTCTCCATGAGGAATGTCCCGGAACGACCTTACAAATGCAATCAGTGCCCTAGTTCGACATTTTCTACTCTTGGAAACCTGAAGAAACATCGCTCCACCAAGCATTCCCGTAAATCAAAGTCCAGACCTGATTCCCCTGTTAGCGAAACTCAGGATAACAGTCCTCCAGAGGGATCTATCAAACAGAACGATCAGAGTGGATACGAGAGCCAATCATCCAGTGTATCGGAGAATACCGAACACTCCCAGTCCGTCGTGGAGGTTTCCAAGTCCAATCCGAACACCTCGTCCTCGGCTAACGATACACCGAGGTCTCGCAGGACTTCACCCAGATCCTCCCCTGGTCCCACGGATGCGCCCTTTAAATGCCACCTGTGCGACAGTGGGTTTGCCGATCGGCAGGATTGCCTGGAACACATCAAGAACAACCATAAAAGGTCCTACGAGATGTTGGTTGCCAAAGGTGCTTTAGACATGGACATCGAAATGCCCGAGGACCAGCAACAGCAGCCAACCCAACACCACACCAGCGACGGTGAAGAAAAGCGGGGAAAGTTCCCAGATTACAGCAACAGAAAGGTGAAATACCGTTTTTAATACGCTCAGTTGATTTTATTGCCGAACATTAGACGGAGGTTGCCTGCTTATCTTTAACGTATCTTACATCTACCGAATTTAAGAGGATATGAAGGGCGCCAAGAAATTTAATCGACGTTGATAAAGTGAAATTCATCTATACCCTTTTTTGTGGTAATGCCGTTTTGAATACTCAAGTGGTAACATTAGCTGGCGCGTCCCATTACCGACATTTATATTTATGTTGAAGTTCTTGACAGTCAACGTTGAGAATTATACGAGCTGAAGGTTTCTATATGTCATTTCGGTAAAGTAATGATAAAAAGATCGATGTAAAACTGTCGAAATCCTGTTAATTCATTACTTTAACGACTGTTTAGGACCAACGTCGCTATCTGTGACGTTTAGCTGCAACTAAATTTTTGCTCTTATAACACGTGTTAGCCCCTGGACAAGCCAGTATTCTCTTGCAATCGTTGGTGAAAGTATTTACCACATTTTCCCATTTGACTCTGTAATGTTCCTTTTCTATGGTATTCTAAATTGTTCGAGCTAGGTCCTGAAACTCTTCATTTTCGATTCTAAGCCTCCAAGAAGCGTAGAACATCGAAAACGTGAACGGACCGCGCCATGTTGGTTCCGGTCCATGATAAGTAAATACATTTTTGATGAAAATGAAATTTCATGAGATTCAGGATCTACTTTAGGGCCTCCATAGTCACGTGGTAAAATTTGAGACGAATCGGTGCACACAATTCGGAGATTACTTTCCCAAACGATTTGACTTCTCAGATATATATACTGTTCAAAAAATGGTATGAATTTTATAACATAGTTTCAAATACAATATATATCATGTGTTATAAATTTAGTACACACGTATGTAATAAAATTATGAAGGATATTAGTAATTTTATGATACATGTATCATAATTTCAGGACATTCGTATATAGTAAAATTGTAAAAAAAAAGGAATAACTTTATAATACGTGTATTATAATTTTATAATAATTTTTAGAAGGCACATTTACAAAATTCTAAACTAGCATCGTAAAATTAAAATAAAAATCAGAAAATTATAAATAACGTGTACTAAGTGACTTTCGAATATAAAACTTATAATTTTCCCACACGATTTCACAAAATTGCAACATAATGTTATAAAATGATAAATTTATTTAGAAGTTTGCAACAAATATATTCATTCATTTTTAAGACATCGAATTTATAACTGTGTTACAGTCTTATGTACTAAAAGTGTATGAATTTTTGTTAACAAGGTAGGCTGACTCTTTCATATCCTCTTAAAGTGAAGTGAAACCCCCTTTAAATCAGTCGCTTCGAATACAACACTATTTTTTAAGGGTATTGGACCAAACTGTTCGGAACTTGAACACGTCACTCCTGATCATCTAAGAATTGTCCTGACAGGTTCAAAATTTGGATTTTTCGAAAAAATTATTTAACTTAGCCGAGATCAGAACCAATATGGCGTCGAGCTCTCATATTTCGATCAATATACAATTATCGAAAGCTCTGATGTGAGAAACGTAAGGGTCAGGACAATTTTACGACGATTTAGAACACTCTGGTAATCGATAAAGTCGCATTTGAACGGGATAAAGGCAAAAAAAGGGTTGTATGCGCTTCTATGCTAAAACGATGGGAATACGAGGTCTCGGAGGGAAAATGAAATCGACCTGGAAATCACAGATGGCGCATGGGGTCTGTCTACAGTCAATTAGGGCCCCAGAAAGCATAAATCCAGAGGATTTCTGGAGTTTTACTTCGATTTCTTTATAATTATTGCACGCAAACGACAGGTGGCATATGCCATTTGGTACAATACCCAATATAATTCCACCCAGCTGTCAATATAAAATCAAACGCCGGCAACGTAGGCATTTAGAAAAATCTTCTTTATCAACGTCGATCAACTTCCTCGACGTGTTTCACTTCACCTTAAACGTGTAACTATCCATCCTCCCTTGAAAGGCACGTGCACGTGAATGCCGAAAAGTGTACCAAAACTTTCTCCATATAGAGACACGATGTTCATGGTAGCTCGATCTTATTTCAGGTGGTCTGCGCTTTCTGCATGCGGCGGTTCTGGTCGGCGGAAGACCTTCGCCGTCACATGAGGACTCACACCGGGGAAAGGCCATTTTCCTGTGACATTTGCTGTCGCAGATTTACTTTGAAACACAGCATGCTGAGACACCGGAAGAAGCACGAGTCCGTCGACTCGCCGATGTACGTGGGCACCAGCGGAGACGAGGAGACAGCCCCGCCTCAGGCACCAACGATAACCCCTCGCAGTCAGCAACACCAGCAACCCCAGCTGGTCCCGGCCACCAGCAACCCCAGAATCCAGGAACGGACGTCCCTACCCACGGTCACCGCCGTAGCCACCGGGGACGCCGCTCCCAGCGGTTTAATGAGATTCAATCCTTACGAGAAGCTGGCCACTCTTACTGGAAAGTTGGCCAACGTCCAGCAGAACTCCAGCCTCGACGCGAACGAGAACACGGACAACGATCTCATCTCGAACCTGCTAGGAATCCGGGACAAGAGCATCATCGACAAGGTCTTGCAGGCGTCAGCCGACGATGCCGCTAAACTCCTTGGAGTCAAGGGCAATCAGGATTAATGCGTTTTTACCTCTTTTTACGCCTATCTAGAAGGGAGGGATCTGTACAAAGAGTTGTAAGGCTCGAAGGGTAGATTCGATTTAAGTCGGTCGGATATGATTTCTGGTATACGTTGGGTCGTCGTGGCGAATTAATCACGAAGTAGCTTTAAATTAATCCGGGGTAAATGATGTATTGAGATTCGTTTACTCGTTTCTAGTATCGGAGTAAGGTAGACGTTGAAATTGCGAGGTGATTTAAATGAACCGTTGTTGGATAGGACGAGGGAAATCGATTTTTACGTGCTCTGGGGAGAAAGCGTAGCAGGATGTCGTTAACTCTTCCAAACTTCTCCTGCACGTATTGAATCATGTTCACGATCGTGCCTTAGGTATCGGCAGTACTTAATTCGATAAATGCGGTACTGGGAGAAAAGTCATACGCGTGTCACATATACATATACACGGATGAAAGACTTTGGGAGGCTAAACGCTGATGATAGGCGTGATCTTTGCGTCCTATTAAAAATCTAACAAACCATGAGATCGCTAAATTTAAATTAACGCATTTGTTGAATTTGTTGATTTCTTCCTGGATACAGTTTCAACGTTTTCTCTTTTTTTGTTCAATTAAATTGGCTCTGAGATTGGTTTCAACCGTTGCTTAATTTAATTGTTTCCTCGTGGTGTGAACAATTTTAGTAGGGCGTGATAGATCCACATGCACGTAACATATTAATTATTTTAAAGCTATGTCCGATCATAACCGTTTTATTTATGATCTCTGGAAATTGGCCTCCTAATAATTCACACTTATACGTGCAGTATAGAAATGTTTGTACCCTAGGGGAGACATCGACAATGGGTAACGAGAAGAAGTAAAGATTTAATTTAATTTTAAACGAGGAACCATGTAAAACCTTATATTGAGGATTATATTCATATACCCTGGCGGACACGAATGCCTTCCCCTCATTTACCGATTATACTTTATCTGCAGAGAAGGTGTTCATGTTCACTAGAGTATACTGCACCATTAAGTTGTAAAGATTAGGTATGTTTTATATAAATTATATAAATATGTTTATACAAATTGGTTGCCGATAAGAAAAGGAAAATTTTGAACCGACATGGCTTTTCATGAAATTCCGGACTCTACTTTGATAATTGTCTTGGCTGTAAATATATATATATATATATACACGGATGTATCAATTAAACACGGATAGAATCAACGCAATATTCCTTGTCCATCCGTTTCTTTTTTTGTTTCTTTTCCAAAATCAGTTTTACCAATTTTCACGATCTCCTTTACGATGAAATCCGCGTTTGACGTTGACGATTAGAAACACGCGACCAGGGAACTCGTGAATAACATAATTGGTGCACTTTTCACAATAAATTGAAGTCTCTCCGTCGGTTGTGCTCATCTTATTCTCTTCGCGTGTGCTGTGTACATAGAATTTAGATATTAAGTATATGAATATATACATATATATGCGTAAGCTCGAGCGTGCGTAAAATATGTGCACATAAACCTAAGGGTCTACGGTTCTACAATGATACGCGTACGCAAATTGCGCCAATGAATCGCAACTCAAGTGTACATACATGGTAGAGCGCGTGTACTTGGCGCGGGACTCTGCTGCAGCTCTTGCCGAGCCGGAAGGAGCGCCATGACCTTACACGCTGTAACGACGTTAAGGTGAAGTGAAACCCCCTTCAAATCAGTCGATTTGAATACAACACTTTTTTTTAAGGGTATTAGACCAAACTGCCCGAAACTTTGACACATTACTCTTGATCATCTAAGAATTGTCCTGACACATTCAAAATTTTTTTTTTTTTAATTTTTCAACACAGCCCAAGCCAGAACGAAAATGGCGTCGAGCTCTCATATTCGATCAATATACAATTATCGAAGGCTCTCATATGAGAAACGAAAAGGGTCAGGACCATTTTACGACAATTTAGAACACTCTGGTAATCGATAAACTCGCATTTGAACGGGATAAAGGCAAAAAAAGTGTTGTATGCGTTTCAATGCTAAAACGATGGGAATACGAGGTCTCGGAATGAAAATTTAATTGACCTGGAAATCACAGATGGCGCAAGGCGTCCCTCTGCAGTCAATTAGGACTCCAGAAACCATGAATCCAGAGGATTTCTAGAGTTTTACTTCGATTTCTTGGTATTTATTGTACGAAAACGACAGGTGGAGTATGCCATTTGGTACGATGCCCAATATAATTCGACACAACTGTCAATATAAAAACGAACGTCGGCAACGTAGGCATTTATAAAAATCTTCTTTATCGACGTCGATCAAGTTCCTCGACATGTTTCACTTCACCTTAAGGAGTTTTGCGGAGCGTCTACAATTTTCGAATCACGTCGACGGGGTCCAAAACGGACAACGGACACTTTCGGAAGACCCCATCGTACGAGTAACGAGTCACTAGGTCATACGTCAGAATCCAAAGAAGCGTTCAGCAACGAATTATCGTAGCCATATAAATATATATATATATTGTATTTCGACATTATTTATTTCTATTCTACGTCAATTCCGCGCTCTTTGATCCGGGAGAGTCGGTGCGAGGCTATTCCCCGGAACGCATCAGATTATAAAATCGAGGTATATAAATAAATATATTGTATATCATTATTTCTAAGGAGGACATTGGCGTGATATTTCCTCGCCCGGGAAATGTCTATTTCCGGTCGCTAATCTTGCTGCAAAACCGGCGTCTTAAAACTATTCGTTCCATGCGTATAAATATTAACGGATGAATAAATGAATTTATATAAAACTAAGTATATGCAAATACGCTCGAGATTTTCACCCGGCTTGGATGGCCGACTCGAAGTGTCGAAAGTAATGGAAAAATACGGCGGCAACTCGAGGGAGGATTTTTTTATCGAGCGGTGCCGATCCGATGGCAATATGGATATGGAAAAGAGAGTTTATCGTATATATATTGAATGTCGGTTTGCATAACCGATCGCCTAAGAGTTGTATCTTACGCAGGTAGCGCAGCCGCCCATAGTCCGATTATTGTCGGATCGCCCGATAAGAGGAGATAAGTAAAATGCAATTATACCAAATATTAGGGTCGGTCTCGAGACCCAGGGTAGCGTTTAAAATGCGACATTTGACAAATTGAAGGGTCATTTCGCGAGTGAAAGAAAGGAAGATCGACTTTGACGAGGAATCTAGAGGAGTTCTTTGCGGTCGACCGTATCTTTTATCCCTTATCTTTGTCCTACCTCCTTCCTCTCTACTATTCTCACGTCCCCTTTTCCAACCATTTCTCTCTTCTTTCTTCCCCTCCCCCCTTGTCTCCTCTGCGTCGACGTTATCGCCGACATGCCGTATTTATTCTTTTTATATTAAAAGTAGAGGACCAGTTCGCGCATGCGCATCTCATGGCGGAACCGAGGTCGGGAATATCGTACCGAAATGTTCTTCTACTCTCGATCTCGGCTCGAGTAGGGTGCAGAAGTGGTGGTTACTCGCTACGTATCTTGTCTATCTTTGTGCGCTGCGGGCTGTATTTCGCGCGAAGGGTATACCTAAATACGTAAACCGAAATGTATCTATTTATTGGAAGGGAAACGTTTCAATGTGGCTTAAGGATTGACGTCATCTTCGATTCTACTCTGAGTACCGAGCTGCGGAATTACTATTGTAATGCGTCTATACATGATTGCGTTGTATCTTCGTTTGACTTATCTAAATATAAGAGCATCCAATATGAAATGAAGCAACTACTCCCTTGTGTTTTCGTGTACTTATCCGACTAACCTCCCAACTAACAATTGAATTAAGGCGCAACTTTGGCCCAATATTGTACATCATTGGCGAAAGTTAGCCGGCCAAGTTTGGCCCGCACTTCATGGAAAAAAAAAATAATTTCGTTACAATTACTATAGTGACATGGTTAAGGTGAAGTGGAACCCCCTTCAAATCAGTCGATTCGGATATAACACTTTTTTTTAAGGGTATTAGACCAAACTGTCCGACACTTTGACACGTCACTCCTGATCATCTAAGAATTGTCCTGACAGGTTCAAAATTTGAGTTTTTGGAAAAAATTATTTAACTTAGCCGAGACCAGAACCAATATGGCGTCGAGCTCTCATATTTCGATCAATATACAATCATCGAAGGCTCTGATACGAGAAACGAAAGGATCAGGACAATTTAGAACACTCTAGTAATCGATAAACTCGCATTTGAACGGGATAAAGGCAAGAAAAGGGTTGTATGCGCTTCTATGCCAAAACGATGGGAATACGAGGTCTCGGAGGGAAAATTTAATTGTCCTGGAAATTATAGATGGCGCAGGGGGTCCCTCTGCAGTCAATTAGGGCCCCAGAAAGCATAAATCCAGAGAATTTCTGGAGTTTTACTTCGATTTCTTGATATTTATTGTACGAAAACGACAGGTGGAGTATGCCATTTGGTACAATACCCTATATAATTTGACACAACTGTCAATATAAAAACGAACGCTAGCAATGTAGGCATTTAGAGAAATCTTCTTTATCGACGTCGATCAAGTTACTCGACGTGTTTCACTTCACCCTGTAAGGTGCAGGAGTGATCACCATTTGGAATGGTAATACTACATGGAGAGGTTACAAATGCGCACAGGAAAATGGAAGGTTTACCTGGGAGTTGTAAACATGTATTATAGTAAGGAGGGTATTTGATATACATCTGATATATATATATATATATAGGCTGACTCTTTCATATCACCTTAACATGTGATTATGCAGACCCTAAGGAAGAACGCGATGCTCGTAAAAGTTAATTTCTCACAAAAAAAAATGTGATCTTGGTTCTAGTCTATGATAAATGAAAAAAATGTTTTTCGAAAAATGAAATTTCACGAGCATTGCGTTCTTCCTTAAAGCCTTCATAATCACTCGTCGAAGTTTCAAATGATTCGGTGCACCCAGTTTGGACAATAGTTTTATGTATTAGGTTGTCCCATAAGTTTCTTCCCTTTTTTTCATAGGACATGAATACACGATGCGGAAGGAACTTATGGGAGAACCTAATATATTTTGACGTTTCGATATATAGAATGACCCTTTCATATCACGATTGAAAGCTAGTACTTGGGATGAAACGCGAACCGAGTCTTTTGACATTTTGTTAAGATCATAATCGACGTTTCGATTTGTCGAGAAGTTCAGACCAAATTTGACCCTCGAAGGCAGAATAAGAGGGAAAAAAAATTGAAGGTGTCGAAAAATGAAAGAGCCGCCAGCGAATCAAAAATGAAGTCACTGGTTCGGCACGCAAAATCATAGTTCTTTCCCTTTAGTATTTTCAATGTTTCCAAGAGGAGAAAAATAATAATGTAAATTGGACTTTTATCATGACCGATCAGGTAGTTATACGAAAATCCATTGAAATTAAAATCTATTATTTAACCTCTGGTTTATTTTCTGTCCGATTAGATAATGGTCTCACTTTTTTCGAAAAAGTAACATGATTCTATCTACCTCATGCGTGCCAAGAGGACCCGTCAGTTGTCAAGTTCTTCTTTCGGATGTATTAAGATATTTGACGAATTAAGAAATTATTTCGGAGGTAATTCATTAATGTGACATTATCGATGGCCCACTTTTTCACAAAAAATGACAGGTAAATTTGACAAAAGTGTTGCAAATCACCGAGTTTCTCTTGCTAGTGAATTTTAATCTTGTTGCGTCGTCTTCTTCTACTTTTACATGTTGAACCGAGTTAATTTGAGAGAAAAATAATCAACATTATACAAATTTCACTCTTTGTCCGTTCATTAGGCAGTGGTCAGCAGCGTATAATATTCAGCACTGCGCAGAATCAAAAATGGAAGGTATGCCGAGTTCTTTTAACTTTCCATATATAGTATAAAAAAAAAGAAGTAAATGCTCATGTTGCAATTACAATTATAAATTGTTAAATAATTATTATACTAAAAATTGAGATATTTAATCTCAAAATCTGTTCATGGGATCAGCTCGATTTACCGACATTTGGATATTACAAATGTACATAAAGAGTAAATTATATTTCGTTCATGTTGCCATTACAATTATAAATTGTGAAATAATGATTATATTAAAATTGAGATATTTAATCTCAAAACTTGTTCAAGGGACCAACTCGATTTACCGACATTTGGGTATTACAAATGTGGTCGAGTACATAAAGAATAAATTGTATTTCGCTCATGTCGCCATTACAATTACAAATTGTTCAATAATTATTATATTAAAAATTGAGATATTTAATCTCAAAACCTGTTCAAGGGACCAGCTCGATTTACCGACATTTGGATATTACAAATGTGGTCGAGTACATAAAGAGTAAATTCTATTTCGCTCACGTTGCCATTACAACTATAAATTGTGAAATTATGATTATATTAAAAATGGAGATGTTTAATTTCAAAACCTGTTCAAGGGACCAGCTAGATTGAACGACATTTGGATATTACAAATGTGGTCGAGTACATAAAGAATAAATTGTATTTCGCTCATGATGCCATTACAATTATAAATTGTTAAATAATTATCATATTGAAAATTAAGATATTTAATCTCAAAACCTGTTCAAGGGACCAGCTCGATTTACCGACAATTGGATATTACGAATGTGGTCGAGTACATAAAAAATAAATTGTATTTCGCAACCTTGGCTCCTGGAAGAAGAGAAATCAGAATCACTAGGGACATCGTTCCCTTCAGCATCGACAGCGAGTTGGTCTACAATAATTTCTACAATGATTTTGGGCCTCTGAACCTTGCTTGCTTGTACAAGTACGAAGAGCCAATTTTTTTTTTACAGGAGAGGCTGGAACTAGCGGTTAAAAAAAGATTCAAAATAGAGTTTATTAAATTTATCAACGCCATCCGCCAGGTGAATTAGCAGTATCCAGTCTTTCCTAGCTTTTAAATTCCTCTCGTTACGTGTGCTCTTAGAAAGCAGTATGTCCACCAGATATTGCTGCCAAGTGAACGAGAAATTGAGAAGCTCAGCCAATAAGCACAAGCAGGTCCTCCATTACACGTCTTTGGACCAGAAGAAAAGGACTAATGCGGCATATCTCATAGCATCCTATGCTATTCTTTACTTAAAGAAAACTCCAAAAGAAGCGATTAGGCCACTAATTGTCGGGAATACTCAGCCCTTTTTGCCGTTCCAAGATGCATCAATAGGCATTTCCGGATACACAATTCGTTTATTAGGTGAGATATCCCATAAGTTGAAACAAAGAATAAAATTCTACCCAAGAAGCCCCCTAGTAGCACAAAATATTTGTCCCATATTTTCTATATATTTAAGGTGAAGTGAAACACGTTCGAGGAACTTGATCGACGTCGATAAAGAAGATGTTTCTAAATGCCTACGTTGCTGACGTTCGTTTCTCTATTGACAGCTTTGTTGAATTATATTGGATATTGTACCAAATGGCATACTCCACCTGTCGTTTTCGTACAATAATTATAAAGAAATCGAAGTAAAACTCCAGAAATCCTCTGGATTCATGCTTTCTGGGGTCCTAATTGACTGCAGAGGGACCCCCTGCGCCATCTGTGATTTCCAGGTCAATTAAATTTTCACTCCGAGACCTCGTATTCCCATAGTTTTGGCACAGAAGTGCATACAACACTTTTTTTGCCTTTATCCCGTCGAAATGCGAGTTTATCGAGTACCGGAAATACCAGAGTGTTCTAAATTGTCGTAAAATTGTCCTGACCATTTCGATTCTCATATCAAAGCCTTCGATAATTGTATATTGATCGAAATATGAGAGCTCGACGCCATTTTGGTTCTGGTCTGGGCTGAGTTGAAACATTTTTTTTAAACAATTGAAATTTTCAACGTGTCAGTACAATTCTTAGATGATCAGAAGTGATGGGTCAAAGTTTCGTTTTCGTTTGGTCTAATACCCTTAAAAAAAAGTGTTGTATTCAAATCGACTGATTTGAAGGGGGTTTCACTTCACCTTAAGGTGATATGAAAGAATCAGCCTATATATACCTGTAAAATCAAATTGTTGGGAAGAGTATTCTCCGAATTGGATGTACCGATTTGTCTCAAATTTTGTCATGTGAACATGGAGGTCCTAAAGTGGGTCCTGAAACTCACGAAATTTCATTTTTCATCAAAAATGTATTTACTTATCATGGACTAGAACAACACGGCGTGGTCCGTGCACGTTTTCGATGTTCTACGCTTCTTGGAGGCTTAGAATCGAAAATAAAGAATTTCAAGATCTAGCTCGAACAATTTAGAATACCGTAGAAATGGAACATTACAGAGTCAGATGGGAAAATGTGGTAAATACCGTCACCAACGATTACAAGAGAATGCTGGCTTGTCTCGGGGCTAACACGTGTTTTTAGAGCAAAAATTAAGTTGCAGCTGAACGTCACAGATGGCGACGTTGGTCCTAAACAGTCGTTGAAGTAATGAAGTAATGAACAGTATTTCGACAGTTTTACATGAATCTTTTCATCATTACTTTTACCAAAGTGACATATGGAACGCTTCAGTTCGTATAATCCTCAACGCAGACTGTAAAAGACTTCAACATAAGTACAAGTGTCGGTAACGTGACGCGCGAGCTTATGTTACCACTTGAGTATTCAAAATGACGTTACCACCAAAAGGGCTATAGATGAATTTAAATTTACCGACCTCGATTAAATTTCTCAGCGCCTTTCGTATCATCATATCCGAGGAATCGATTATCTTCGTGTGCCGAATGGACATTTTCTCGTTTAATTGCAAGGGCAGACTGCTTGAACGCTATCCACAAGGCCGCGGCATTTGGATTCTTCAACTTCGAGGACTTTGACTTAGCCGAGTACGAGAAGTACGAGCAGATGAAGAACGGCGACCTAAATTGGATGGTCCCACAGAAGTTCCTCGCATTCGTCGGGCCCAGCACGGAAGTCGGTTCCGCTTATCACCCCCCGGAACGGTACATAGATTACTTCGTTAGGAACGGCGCGATCGCCGTCGTCAGGCTAAACAAGAAATCTTACGAGGCCTCCAGGTTCGTAGAGTTCTCCGATATTTATTGCCTGCGATATCTCCACCTCACGCCGGTGCTCTTGCTTCAACAGGTTTACGAGAGCCGGGATAATGCATTACGACATGTTCATGCCAGATGGCAGTGTGCCACCGAGAAGAATCCTTAATCAGTTCCTCCAGCTTGCAGAAACCACTAACGGGCCCATTGCCGTTCACTGCAAGGTTCCAAATACACGTCAGATTCTCCCAAAAGAAAACATACCCAGACAGCACAAATACATAGCACAGAGGTTCATAGAATATTCTTTCAAAATATTTCAATATTAAGGTGAAGTGAAACACGTCGAGGAACTTGATCGACGTCGATGAAGATTTTTCTACATACCTACATTGCCGACGATTGTCTTTATATTGACAGTTGTGTCGAATTATATTGGGTATTGTACCAAATGGCATACTCCACCTGCCGTTTTCGTACAATAAATGTCAAGAAATCGAAGTAAAATTCCAGAAATCCTCTGAATTCATGCTTTCTGGGGTCCTAATTGACTGCAGAGGGACCCCCTGCGCCATCTGTGATTTCCAGGTCAATTAAATTTTCACTCCGAGACCTCGTATGCCCATCGTTTTATAGCATTGAAACGCATACAACACTTTTTTTGCCTTTATCCCGTTCAAATGTGAGTTTATCGATTATCAGAGTGTTCTAAATTGTCATAAAATTGTCCTGACCCTTTCGATTCTCATATCAGCCTTCGATAATTGTATATTGATCGAAATATGAGAACTCGACGCCATTTTGGTTCTGGTCTGGGCTCAGTTATAAAATTTTTTCTAAAAATCCAAATTTTGAATGCGTCAGGACAATTCTTAGATGATCAGGAGTGATGTGACAAAGGTTCGGACAATTTGGTCTAATACCCTTAAAAAAAAAAGTGTTGTATTCGAATCGACTGATTTAAATGGGGTTTCACTTCACCTTAATAGGATATGGATTTATGTGCTATGTACATTTTTTGAACATAGGATGAATATAGTTTTGCTTAGTTTTTTATATTCGAAATGTATTTAACGAAATATTGTATGAACATGGAATTGATACTTCTTACACATAATAACTAGCATGTCATATACATATCTGAATGATATTTTTTGCCACGAAAATAAAAATACAAAAGGTTCATGTTTCGGTATTATATTTTTAAATTAGGGTCAACAATTTGGTGAGATAAAAAATTGAAACATTGAAACATAAGCACCTACTTTTACAAAAAATAAAGTACTTACCCAGGGAATATACATTTAAACTATTGGCGCACGTATGTGTATTCAAAATAAAGTAATAATATATTATTATTATCCCACGAAATATTTAGCATGTTTTGATTTTTTTTTAAATAAGGGTGTGCGTAAAAATGTATAAAATAATTGTTAACTTTAGTATTTCAATGTCATATTACAAACCTTTTCTAACCCTTGTAGTATTTATAGAATACTATTTCATATTTCAAATGACATTGCTAAACCAATATTGTACATATATATAAAACATTAAATATTTAGACTATATCTGGGAAACATTATCATATGTACATAATCTAATATTGTACTTAAAATATCATTCCAATGTCAAATGTTCATGAGGAATATTTTCCAACTTCTTTTCTATATTCTATGAATATTTTATGCTGTCTGGGTAACGATGCGTTACGTTACTTGGTGTTTATTTCTTCCTTTTTGTTCAAATACTTTCAGGCGGGATTGGGCAGAACTGGATCCTTGATAGCGGCGTACTTGATCAAACATTACAGGATGACCGCAAGAGAAGCCATTGCCTGGATGAGGATTTGTCGTCCTGGGTCAGTCATCGGGCATCAACAAGCCTGGTTAGAGGACATTGAGAGCTTCCTTTGGCGAGCTGGGCATCAATACAGGTTCTGGACCATCAAATTCGTTCATTTATAATCTGCCCACCAACCACGTTTACGTAGCACTATAACCCTAGTAGCACAGAATAATTTCTAAATATTTCTTCCTAATCTTTGATAAATATCTCAAGCGACAGATTTTTTAAAGTGGAGTGAAATCCCCTTCACATCAGTCGATTCGAATACAACACTTTTTTTAAAGGGTATTAGACCAAACTGTCCGAAACTTTCACACGTCACTCCTGAAAAATTGTTCTGACAGGTTCAAAATTTGGGTTTTTGAACAAAATTATTTAACTTAGCCGAGACCAGAACCAATATGGCTTCGAGCTCTCATATTTCGATCAATATACAATTATCGAAGGCNTATTATAGAGATAATATTCTAAAGTAAACGTTTTGCAAATATTTCAAATATCTGCTAAATATTTACAAAATGTACGATATTCGTTAAGTATATAGAAAATATAGGACAAATATTTTGTGCTACTAGGGAACCGTTACATAACGTTTGGAACATATAATGTAACATACATATAACATATAAGTAAGATATGTTTTACTTTTTCCTCCGCAGCTATATAACCCTGTTGAAAAACGAATAATGTAACGTATACATAACATATCGGTAACATGTTATATCTGATGTTGGTATTATATAACTGCAATGTTTACAAGTTTGTAACAATGTTACCGAGCGGTAATAATTCGACGTTATGTAATATTAATGTATCTTTTGAATAACATTCGTTATATATCATGTTATTCCAGGGTTATGTAATTGTAACATAGTGTGTTTGGTGGGTGTGATTTTTACCGCTTCGTTTTTCTTCCACTCCTTGTAACTATAAGCTTCGGTAATTTCAACGCAGATTAAAGTATCACAGAGATGGTGATATGATTTTACATCATAAAAGAGGGATTTATTCGATTGCGTACAAATTGGAGCAGAAAATAAATTTCGCACTAGGGACCGAGCGATTTACTTGCAACGGAGCGGAAAACAATTTGGGTAAGCTATCTGAATAATTGAAATGTTTAAATTTTAATACAAACGAATTTAATTTAATTTAATGTTACCAAACAATAATTAAAAATTTAATACAAAATAATGTGAGAGAAACCACGTAGATGTAAGTGATGTGCCGAGGAAACGGAAAGTAAGAACCAGTGTTCCAGAAGCGCAGAAATGTAATTTGACGTCGTTCAGCAAGATTAACAAGCCCGGACTCTCCTGCATTTTAGGTAAATAGATAACCCACAAAACACAATGTTAAGTTACAGTTACATAACACTGAAATAACATGGTATATAAGGAATGTTATTCAAAAGATACATTGATATCATATAACGTCGAAATATTATCGTTCGTTAAGGTGAAGTGAAACCCCTTTCGAATCAGTCGATTCGAATACACTTTTTTTAAAGGTATTAGACCAAACTGTCCAAAACTTTGACACATCACTCCTGATCATCTAAGAATTGTCCCGACACATTCCAAATTTGAATTTTTGGAAAAAATTGTTTAACTTAGCCCAGACCAGAACCAAAATGGCGTCCAGCTCTCATATTTCGATCAAAATGCAATTATTAAAGGCTCTGATATGAGGAACGAAATGGTCAGGACAATTTTACGACAATTTAGAACACTCTGGTAGTCGATAAATTCGCATTTGAACGGGATAAAGGCAAAAAAAGTGTTGTACGCGCTTCTATGCCAAAACGATGGGAATACGAGGTCTCGGAGTGAAAATTTAATTGACCTGGAAATTACAGATGGCGCAGGGTGTCCTTCTGCAGTCAATTAGGGCCCCAGAAAGTATGAATCCAGAGGATTTGTAGAGTTTTACATCGATTTCTTGATATTTATTGTACGAAAACGACAGGTGGAGTATGCCATTTGGTACAATACCCAATTTAATTCGACACAGCTGTCAATATAAAAACGATCGTCGGCAACGTAGGCATTTAGAAAAATCTTCTTTATCGACGTCGATCAAGTTCCTCGATGTGTTTCACTTCACCTTAGCAGTGTTACAAACTTGTTAGCATTGCAGTTATATATAATATTGTACGGTACATAATTGGTTTTATAACAGGGTTATATAGCTGCGTAAGAAATAGTAATACAAACCTTACTTATATATATTATATGTATGTTACGTTACCGTGTTTGGTGGGTAAGAATAGTGTTGTTTCCTATCTTAACTTGAAACATTTATTAATGTATTTTATAATCTTTATATAGGAAAATTGTGCAACATCGGTGGAAACGCATTAATTTCAAGTGAGTTGAACACATCAGGATTACGACAGAAGATTGATGCTGATATGGTGAAATACAATTCAATCCTGCCAATGAATAAATCGGAAATAACTCAAGGCGATCGACTCAATGAAATTAAAATAAAAAGGAACAAATTATCTGTAAATTCCCTTCTATTTCCGAAGAACAATTCGCTGTCTGTGCCGACCGAGCCAATTACGCGATCCCAAAAAAAACAATGATTTATAAAGATAATGGATACTTCACTGATATCCTAACACACTCGGCTTCCTCTTCCTTCCATATGTTGTTTACTTTCCAACATTACTTTTTACGAAATATTAAAATATGGAGTTACGTCAATTTAAGTCATAACACGCCACATATTGATATTATCTGTTCTGTAGTTCTGTAAACATTTGCAGGAGAAGAAATTAACTAAAGCAGACTACTAATTCTACTGTGTAAGGATAGAATTGGTTCAGAAAAAGTACTGTATTAAATGCAATTAAATTTATAAAAGTCATGTACAAAAATACATCAACTTTTAATAACGTTTATAGATTAACTTTCATTTTGATTAAATGGTCCCGTAGCAGAGTCTCTTCTGCATCCAGTCCTGGTTGTTCTTGGTTTTCATGTCTCGATCTGTAAAACAAATTGTCTATTAAAGTGAATGTTTGATATCTTAAGGTGAAGTGAAACACGTCGAGGAACTTGATCGACGTCGATAAAGATTTTTCTAAATACCTACGTTGACGACGTTCGTTTTTATATTGACGGCTATGCCGAATTATATTTGGCACTGCACTAAATGGCATACTCCACCTGACGTTTTCATACAATAATTATAAAGAAATCGAAGCAAAACTCCAGAAATCCTCTGGATTCATGCCTCCTGGGGCTCTAATTGACTGCAGAGGGACACCCTGCGCCATCTGTGATTTCCAGGTCAACAAAATTTTCACTCCGAGACCTCGTATTCTCATCGTTTTGGCATAGAAGCGCATAAAACACTTTTTTTTTGCCCTTATCCCGTTCAAATGCGAGTTTATGAACTACCAGAGTGTTCTATATTGTCGTAAAATTGTCCTGACCCTTTCGATTCTCATATCAGCCTTCGATAATTGTATATTGATCGAAATATGAGAAGTCGACGCCATTTTGGTTCTGGTCTGGGCTAAGTTAAAAAGTTTTTTTGAAATATCCAAATTTTTAATGTATCAAGACAATTGTTAGATGATCACGAGTCATGTGTCAAAGATTCGAACAGTTTGGTCTGATACCCTTAAAAAAAAGTTTTGAATAAGAAATACAATTTTTGTATGCAAGAACTCATTTCTGGCGAATTGTACAAAGAATTTAAGGTGAAGTGAAACACCCCTCAAATCAGTCGGTTCGAATAAAACACGTAGTTTTAAGGGTATGGACCGAACTGTCCGAAACTTTGACACATGACTCGTAACCTTCTAAGGCTTATCCTGACACTTTGAAAATTTGGATTTTTTTAAAAATTGTTTAACTTAGCTCAGACCAGACTCAAAATGGTGTTGAGCTTTCACATTTAGATCAATATATAATTATTGAAGGCCCTAATAAATGAAACGAAAGTGTTAGGATAATCAGGCGGCAATTACGAACACTCTAGTAATCGATAAACTCGTATTTGAACGGAATAAAGGCAAATAAGTTTCTTATGCGTTCGTATGCTAAAACGATGGTAATACGAGGTGTCGGAGTGAAAATTTAGTTGACACAAAAATAACAGATGGCGCAGGGTGTCCTTCTGCGTCAATTAGGGCCTCAGAAGCCATGAATCCAGAGGATTTCTAGAGTTTTACCTGGATTTCTTTATAATTATTGTACAAAACGACAGGTGTATGCCATTTAGTACAATAACTAATATAATTCCCCACACCTGTCAATATAAAAACGAACGTCGGCAACGTAGATATTTAGAAACATCTTCTTTACCGACGTCGATCAGGTTCCTCGATGTGTTTCACTTCATCTTAACACTTTGAAGACGTAGTATGAAACACTTACAAACGGGAACATAACTGACTTAAGTGATAAGGAACGACATATCGGGTATGTGGAGATAGATCTTTGAATGGATCATTAGTTTCGTCGGCAGTTTCCAATCCTTCCAGTCTGCGAACAATATTGAATGGTATGGTATCATAAATTATGCATTCATTGGTACATCATTTTTTCACCATCGTACCTTACAACAAAGTGAGTACGATACTGTAATGCCAAGTCGTGCATATTACGCTTGGCTACGTCAAGTACTTCTGGAAAAGCGATATCTCGAAAATCGCCAATAATTTCTGCATTCCTTGGTATTCGATTATTCTGAAGTGATTTCGTCTTTTCTAAGTACGACGTTAAGAGACACCGAGCACGCGGTGTATCCATCCAAACCACACGACCTCCAGATTGCAAAATGCTTGTCACCCAAGCAGAACCACCAACACGAGCTATTTCATTACTCTCACTTGCACCGTACCAGTTGTAAACCTAATATCATATAAGTGTAACATTCTACCAAATGTATCAATATAAGGTATTCTACTTAAAATGAATTTTCTTCTTACATGACATTGACAGCGTTCCTCTAATATTCCTTGCAGTCCATTTATAAATGCCGTAAACGATGAAGAATCCTTCACATACATTAACACAACTGCATCGGTTTTGTCTTGATCACCGTCACCATCTTTTTGGATAACACCGATTGACTCGTAGCCATCGATATTAGCTCCAGCTGTATTTTTCAGATCGTTTGTATTGGTATTCGTGTAAGAACACCGTTTTCCATTATGCACGTGAAGACGGTATACAAAGAATGTGCTCCCAACAACGGCAAACACTATCACAATAACAACAATGATAATAGGAAGCACTTGTTGAGTAAGATTACTCACATGTTCGCGTCTTTGAATTACACCGCTTTGCTCCATAGCAAATGTTCTAACAGATCTCGAACAACCTTTCAGGTAAACATGAGTAAACTAAATTTCAGATTACTGAGAAAACTTTTGAATATAACCCAAGATATTTTTCATTAAAGATACAAATTTACCTAGTATCCACTGACACGGGGTTCTACTTGCCGGAGGTATTTTCCATATAGTGTTTTTGTGGCAGCGATCGTCATGCAAACGTACTAGTAAACAATATTCGGAATCTTTCTGTGTGAACTTCGTTTCAAAATTACACTCTGTTTTCAGAATCATTTGGCCATTTCCAGGGTTGACCTGTTGAACCATCTATTTTTAGTCTCTACTTCAACTTTGTTGTTCTATATTCCGAAGAGAGTTCTCAATCATTTTCCTGACAAACGTGTACACTTACTTCCATAACACTGCAATTAGTAGAAGGTGAAACTTTTGTATTCTGAAAAATGAACGGCTTTTCTATAGTTTTAATGATCTCATAGTTTAATATTTATATGTAGCGTCTTGATCGTATAAATAAGAGACATTACCAGATTTACTTTCCATCTACGGATATACGATTTGCTGTGAAGAATACAAGCATGTTCTTTATTCTTATCCTCAGCTGATAAGGGAAGCAATTCAAATTGTGCACCTGTAGGTCCTTTTGGTATTGAAATACCGGTTGTAACTGTAATACTGTAATGTATATGGAATATATTATCATTATTACTAAGTTATTGAATGCATTATTGTACTTATTTCTGCATCCATGTATAATCCACATAAGAATGTATATCTACATTCGGGTTAAAATACATTGTGCTCGAAACATGACATACTACAATAATGATCAAATGAAACTTTAACACGTTAGGGAAAGGTAAAGCAATGCTCATTACGTATACATACCGTTGATCTGATTCGGCTGCAGAATAAAAATAACATTGCAGTTTTGGTTCTGCTACTTCGGTTCTCTCATATTCAGTGGTTAAGAATTTATTCCCTCTTATAATGAACTTATCGCCATTAACTTTGAAACGCAGTGCATAACATCCAGTGAAAACATGATCGTAACAAATGGTAAAATTGCTCTGAAAGAATTATATTTGATATGAAGATCTTAAACAAGAATCACTGCAGAGCTATTTGACATTCTGATTACTTTATGATTGTCAAATTCTACCTGCTCCGTTTTATTTTGCACTTCATCGTTAGACTTTGTAAGACTATTCAAACTTGTACATATTTTTCGTCTTATAGTATGAACTTCATCCTCGCAACATTCAGATGCATGAAACTTATGAACGTTACAATTATCTTCATTCTTGATGTAGCCATTTACTAAAAGAGCAATTTCACGTATGCAATCTTTATTAAGCGGAACAAAGCTTATCTGCAATCTCCCTATAAACAAAATTTCTAAGTCAATGCAACAATATTTATATATTATATTTAAGTTTCATAAGAATTTACTTCTCATATAACATACCTTGTGACTTTTCTATTAAGTTAAAATTAATGTCATATGGAATATCCTTTGAATTGCATAATTCAGTGCAAACTTTAGCTTTGTTTTCTTTAATAGTTAAATGCGATGCGGAAAGATTCTGCTGTAAGAAAATTGAATGATATTAAACTTTTTGAAATTGCAATAGTACAAATAATAATGTTCCTTTTATCAAACTTCAACAATAATGTGATATCAAAATAAATATGTCAGTGCATATGAACATGTGTCATTATTGTTATGCTTACAACATAATGTTTGTCATCAACGGCGCCAATCGTAAAGAGACTAACTATGAATACAGCAGTAGAATAAACATAACGCATCTTTTAACACTTCGCGTATAAATCGTTGTCATCCATTTAGCATATGATTACGAAGAAAGCGTTTTCAACTTGTTTCAATTATACCATTGGAAATCGCGTAACCTCTCCCATATGCATAAGTAAGTTACCAGTTCGACGCAAACTATTTCTGATTTCCCCGATTTATTGCAATCATTCATTTCTGTACCGTGCCTAAAATTACGCACGAGAGAGCAGATTATTAATATTTAATAGCTAATTATAGCGTACTTATTTATTTTAAAACCAATATTAAAGTTTAATGGCAAGTTTACACAACACAGCTCTATGCTGTGACCTATGTCGATGCAGCGATGCTGCGCATATATAGCAGAAATGAGTTGGGAGATTGCTCACGGGCAGGGTCTCGCGATCGCATCGTGTGCTGCCCTCTGGTTTTGTACGTGAGCGTTTACCGTGTTTGCCTAGAGTTCGAAAAATCTCGGTAACATTAAATTGGAGAAGGTAACTGTGAAACATACCGTAAGTTACCGGGAACATTGAGAATTTAAGAGAACGTTAATTTTGATATTATTCTTTAGGTTTCTTCGTTTAAATAACTTTTTTTTTCAATCAATTTCAAAGTTTAAGCTAAAGAGTAATAATTACTATTAGAAAATATTGATTATAGGGTCGTATTTACCTCCAGCTAAAAATATTCACGTATGTACAACTTCACGGAAAATTCCATGCGATTTGTTTCAAACGAACTGATATTTCATTATGCAACGAAGCGAATGGGAGGTTTTGATTGGCTACGGAGAACGTACAACGGAAATTCCCCTCTACGATGTTTCTCTATAGCTAATCGAAACCTCTCGTTCGCTCTGTTGAAAAATTCAAATTCTCATAATTTCTCGATAAAAAGGCTTTGGAGAAATTACCGATAAGTTGCCAGGAATTTCTCTTCGTTTCTGACGTAACTTACTGGATTTAGAACTCTAGCCCCTACCAGAAATTCGTTGCGCCGTCCTTGGGGGCAAACTAGAGTTCTAAATCCAGTAAGTTACGTCAGAAACGAAGAGAAATTCCCGGTAACTTATCGGTAATTTCTCCGATCGAACGAGAGGTTTCGACAGAGATGAGTTGGGAGATTACTCACGGGCAGGGTCGCGCGATCGCACCGTGTGCTGCCCTCTGAT